CCCTGCTTCCTTCACATCACCCTGCTTGGTCCTGAAGGATGGCTGGTTAGTCAATGATGAGTAAGACCCCTCCATAGAAGGGGCAACCTAAGACAGGCACAGGCACAGGCACAATGGGCATCAGAGAAAAACTTGGAGGACACAAAGAAAAGGCAAAAGACCCTCACCCCTTGGCTTTGCTATGGCTGGGGTCCTCATTCTATCTGAAAGAAGTCCCCTTATTTCCTGGCAGCCTCGCCCTCCCCCTGCCTGGCTCAGGCTTGAAATGATACTGGAGACAGCCCTACACTGGATCTGGCAATTCCTGGGGGAATCAGGCCTAGCAGTAAATACCTTGAAGTATGCTGTTTTTCACTCAAAAGCTATGATAACCAGCTCAGGCTGGGAAGGAAATGTACATTATTCACAGATCCTGACGCTAAACCCTGTGGCACCTTTATGTTTATGTTCTCATGTTTACTCATCTTGTCTTGGACCCATGTGAATGGACCCAAGTGTGTTCCTGCCATTTGTTTTCTTCAACATCATCTATTCTCTGTGAACATTAACATAGTGATGTAATGAGATCACCTGTACATTCCTATTACCTAGCCCCATTGATATGTCTTTCAATAAAAGCCTTTGGAAAAAGGGGCTCGGGCTGCTTCTCCACTAGAGGGAAGAGCCATTTCCCTTCTCCTGGCAAACAGAGAAGTTTTCTGGGACGACTCATTTTATTTCCCCCCACTCATGACAATCCCGGGATGGGCTCTGTGGGATCAAAGCCCACTCTTCCACCTCATACACACACACACACACACACACACACACACACACAGATATATATAACATAAATGGAACTCTAAAATTATATACATAAAATGAGCAATGTTGCTGAATTATTTTAAGGGCAACTCAGATTAGCCTTCTTAAGATCAGGGTGAAAAAGACCACTGCCTGCAACACCCATCTTCCCCAGATGTCAGGAGGAAATAATCATCTCAGAGCATGAAGTACAAAATGTCCCTGGTGAGTTCCAATACACCTGACACTAATTTCAAGTAAGTGATGCTAAACTGAAAAGGACTGATTGATGGCCTTAATCCTTAAAAGTGCCCTCCCAGGGAATGTACCAATGCCCCTCAGAGAGGAGTGGTCCCTGCTCTGCCCTCTACATCATACTTTTAAGGAGTGCTTGATTGCCACAACCACCAGCTGGTCTTGATCAACAGAACCTACAGTATAAGTATCAGGAACAGACTCAGGTAAATATATAACCAGCAGGGGTATCACCAATGCTAACTAGAAGCCAGGGCACTGCACGAGAAGAGCGGAGATGTGTGTGCTCTTGAAAATGATTCTAATTTGCATCTGATTAACTTCTATAGCGGCTGGCCCTCCAGCCCTAGCCCTGTTCTCTCCTGCTGGCCTTAGGTTTGTTGGTTAACCATATTGAATCTGTAAATTGGTGAATTACACAGAAAAGTATCTTAGGAACCTTTCCTTCCTACTTGCCTATTAGCAAGGTAACCATTATTCAAGCTATTTTTTTTTAGCAGGACACTGAGGCTCGAGGTTACATAAGTTGCTCCAGTCACACAATAGCTGTCACGAAGCTTTCCATTCAAAGAAGATTAGAGGTCATGGTCAGCAGTGTGGGATTCTGACCAGAAAGTGCCCTTTCCTGGGCCCCTCCTTGGCCTCTGCCCTATAAAATGGCATCCCAGGACCTCCTTTTCAGTCTAGAAAGAATCTCTCCCTCTTTCCTCATCTGTCAACTCCTTGAGGGCAGGGAGGTCCCATGCTCTTTATTATTCTATTAACTAGGCCTACTGCATAGATAAATGCTCAGGAAACACATGATGGATTAAATTAAGTGTACTCCAGAACCTCGCTAGTGTGTTGAAACATCAGAATCACCTGAGACCTTGTCAGAAATGCAGAATCTGGGGTCACAATCCAGTTCTGCTGAGTCAGCATTTGCATCTAAGCAGGTCCCTAGGTAGCCATGGGTACTGTACAGTTTGAGACATGATGGTCCGCTCCCTCTGGCTTCTTTAATACACTTTTTATTTTCAGTGCAGAACATAAACTGTCTTGTTTCTATTCTGAATCATAAAATGAAAACCACACATTGCTTTATGACCCAAAGAATTTCAAAGGGTCTCTGGGGAGAAACATTCCCTAAGATCCCTAATCTTGAAGAATTCAGGTAAGAAACAGTAACTAGTGCTTTAGCTAAAAGCTATATTAGAAAAATCCCCTTTTAAACATATGTTCACATTTAATAAGCTTATTTAGTGTTCTCAGGTACTATTAATCATCATCAAACTAGAATTACTCATAATTAAGTAACCTATTAACATTTGGCTTACTCTTAGTGAAAATTCAGCTCATTTTCTACATCTACTTATTGAGCATCTATTATGAACAAGGTCTCCCAGGGGGAGATACTATGAGAATATGAAGGTTGCAATCCCTGACCTCCTATCTTTGCTACTGAAGGTCGAAAACATGCTAATTGAATGTTTCTGTAAGTAAATAATGCATGAAGTATCATTTCCACTATTTAAATATGAAATTCAATTAAATGCTTCTATGATGCAGCCAATTAAAACCATTGGCATAAAGCATCCAATACTGAGTCACAGGGCTATTTTCAACACCTCCCAATCTGACATCTCCTAGGAAATGTGTAGGTGTACATGGGATCAGCATGGGAAAATCCATGTCCAGATCACAATGAAAAACTGACTTTTCATGTAAAGAACAAAATACATACTTGTTTTAAAAATTAAGAAAAAAGACTTAGCTCTTTGAGCTTTTAAGGTGCAAAAGCAAGACTTTGAAAAGATTAACATATAGATATGGCAACACAAAAATGTATAAGCACCATTATCATTTTAATCTGAAAAAAATCATTAATTTTGAATTCTAAACCTAAAAACAAGTGACAGCATTAAGAGCCAGCAATAAAGATTACCAAGAATTAAGAAAGACTGTTCAAACAATAAAAATGATGAATTCAACTTCATAACAATTACTCATTAGGTGATGTGGGTCACCTTTTACCATTTTCATCTTTTTTATCATTTTCATCATAAAACAGCTGGGACTAGGGAAGAGGCCCAAACACTTACAAAAAAAACCAAATAAGCTTAAAAACAATTGTTATTTTCTAAATAAAGGTGAATTTTTTAGTCACTATCTGAACATTCTCCTATCAGGAAATTTTTCATCACACTAATTAGTAAAGCCTCACTTGGGATTTTCATGGCTTGTTTAACTCTTTGGGGATTAACATTTTATTAGTAACATATTTTCTCCAGAATGTATTCCCTTCTTTCACCTCCACAGGAATCACTCTGGGAGTAATGAGAATGACACTGATTCTACATTTGCACACAGTGGGACAGATCAGCAAATAAATAGAAGCATCCATTGCCAAGAAGAAAATGGCTAAAAGCAGCACATTTACAAGTCTTTTAAAAGCCACACTCTACATCTCTCTGTGAGATGAAAGACAGTTATTGAATGTCTTTACCTTGTGCTCTTTATTTTTAACTAAACCTTTAATTAGACTACTGAGACATGCCAATACTTCTATGGGTCCTGGTTTAGCTGTGTAAAATGAAGCACTGATTTATTTATGCTTTTGCAAGCAGGGGGCCAAGTCAGAATGACCCTTTTAAACATTGTATTTATTTCAAGATTACTTTAAAATACACTTTGGGGTTATTTGGGGCAAACTTTTTTTCTAAGGAAATCTTAGTAGTGGAATGGTAGAGCCTACCGAGGAAGGCAGTCTATTTTAATGCAAACCTGGATTTGTTGGTCAATTCACTGTTCAGGGACTAAGAACGACATAGACAGAGATGGATGGTGAACTTTGCCAGGAACTACTTCAGAGTTAATTGGGAAGTCCAAACGGGGGTGGGGAACCCTCCTACTAAGAAAGAGAAGATTGGGGTTCTAAGTGATCAAGAATGACCAGTTCTTCTCCAAGTTAATTTAGTAACTACTCAGTATGTCACCTGTAAAGATACAGACCAACCAATTTTATGAATTTGGGGCCGGAAACCAAAGCTGCAGGTACTAAAGACCAAACGCGCGCAACTCTAGCCTCTGGGACCCACTTCTAACTCCTGTTGAACTCCAGGGCTTTTAACTTGCAAAGTAAAAGCTTCGTGGATACAATCTAGCGAGTTTTTAGACTTTCTGGAAGTGTATATGTATTTTTAAGGTTTCCCTCTTGCTTAATCAACAACATTGGCTACTAATTACTTATGAATCACAAAGCTGAAAACAAACTTTCTTACCTTGAGCAGTTTAAAGAGTGGCAGAGGACCCGGGTTGGTTTTACTCTTAGCTTCTTGGTACTGGTCCCTAACCCCTGGTTACCGAACCAGCGCTGCTCTTTAGAAAGGTCAAAAGTGAGCTTCCCTCCTCGCTCCGGGAGGGGGCACACCTCCCAACAAAACGACACGCTGGCATCTAACCTGAGGAGCCCCGGGTGGTAAGACGACGTAACGAGCCAGGCTACGCGTCCTCTAAGCGACCAGGGAGAAGACTCGGCACCCAACGCGGCCCGGAACCAGTTCCGACCGAAGATCCCAGAGACACTGCGGGCCCGGGACGCACGCACCAGTCGCTGGGGGTACCCGGTTCCCCACGCTTCGGAAGGGCGCGCGATGCGGCCCAGGGAACCAGTGAGTCACCCTCAAGGTTGCGCCCCGCGCACGGCCTCCATCCACCCCGATGGTACCCCTTTGAGCACCTCCACGTCTGAGGACCGAGGTGTCTAGTCTCCTGCCTCCTACAGCGACACGCATACGCAGCCCACCAGCCCCGCCACTGCTGCATAACTAAATGTCCCGGCGGCGGAGTTAGGAGCCCACGTCCCAGAGCCCCTCTCGGACCCGAGCGTCCACTCCACTAGCGAACAGGTGACCGAGTCTCCGAAGCCCGCGCACACGTCCTCTGGCCCTGAGTCCCTCGAGGCCCTGGGCACAGCCTCTTACCTCGGAGCCGGCCGGGGTGGCCAAGCAAGGCCCGGCGCGGACTGGGCCGAGGATACGCACCTCCCGCCGCCGCCGCTGCCTCCGCCTCCGGGAGCCTGAGCCGAGCCGGAGCCGGAGCGGACACGGCTAGCTGCTCTCGGGCGGCGGCGGGAGGCACAGCTCCTGCCCCTGGCGCCGCTGCGGCCGGGGGGTCTCCGAGCTAGGCAGTCGCCAATCCCGCACCGTCGCCGCGCTGGTCTCTCGGTGCCTGAGGAAGGCAGGCTGCTCTTGCGGCAAACTCTTCCGCCGCAGAGCCCTCTGATGGCTGCCACCGCCTCTTCCTCCTTCCCCTCCTCCTTCCCTCTCTACCTCCCTCTCCTCCTCCCCCTTCCCTCCGCTCCCGCGGCCGCCGCCGGCCTTGTCTCTCCCCGCCTCCATCCAGCCTGGGCTCACTCCCTGCGCTCCGATAGGCAGGCGGACCCCCGACCTCAGCTTCCCGGGCGGTTCAGACCCCGCACGCGCCGCGACCTCGTTGCCTCCTCCAGGCTGGCCGGGATACGCAGCGGGGTCTGGCTTGGGGAGCAGGACAGAGGGGTGGGGGTTGGGGGAGGGGGGCATGCTTAGAAACGAACTTGGCTGAAAGGGCAGCCAAGGGGATGCGGGGCTGCCAACCGAGGGCCTGCTCATGTTGTCGTTGAGAGTAGCAAGGAATCTTCCTCCCCTGCCTAGTGCAAACCGTCGCCTGGCCGCTGCCACCCTTCTGTCCTGTGCGTTTGGGAGAGCACATGTTTGTCCTCCCCTCCAAGCTGTGCAGGTCTGTGAACAGGGCCCGAGGTAGGTCACAGGATGAGTCTCCTCACGGATCACTATAATCTCTCAAGCAGGGGCGGGAAGGAAAGGGGGCAGGTCGGGGGGTCGGTCAGGGACGCCGGTGACTACTGCTCTGGGAGGATCGCATTCGCTACTGGGGAGAAATGATCGGTGTTTCTTTCAAGGCGAATACAGCTGGTCTAGAAAATGGGTCAAGGATGGAAAGGACCCGGTTAAGTGCCCCCTTCCCTGGCAAAGGCACGTGGGGCCTTGGCCAGCAGCACACACTGGAGCTCCACTCTGCCTCTCCTTCCCCTCCCCCGCAACCTCCTCTCCAGTACAGGGAATGTTACACTGACCTACATATTTTTCCAAACATACGTGACCTTCCCCCCCCCCCCCCCGCCATCTGTGGGAGGAGACAGGTGAGAATCCAAGAAGAGAAGCTAGAGCGATGTGCACGAGAAAGCAAGGAAGCTTTCACCAAGGCTCTCGCAAATACCGAAGAGATTTGCAGTCTCCGGGAGCCCAGAGCTGCTGTTAGATGCTCTGCGGGTCTCTGAAATTGAGACGGGTGATAAAGGGAGACTGTGTGCCCCGCTGAGGCTTGGAACCGTGAAGGGGTTCTGCTAGACTCGCAGACTCCCCTCCATCCCGGGTGATGGAGTTTTCACCTCATGGAGGTGCCTGAGGAGAAGTCCAAAAGAAGGGAGACGTCTCCCACCCTCAGGAAGTCACCCATTCCCTGACATCACTCAGCTACAGTGTCTGGCACTGCCCTCTGAGCCCAGCAGCCCTTTTGGGATGTTCCTGAGTCCCTCACACATTCTGGCAGGACCCTCGTTTAGGTGCCAGTAGGAATCTCCTAGGGCCTTTCTTCTGAACACCAGCAGGGTCAATGGACCGGGGGTCGCCTTTCACTAAAGCCAGGTTCCAAGGCCTTTGCTTTATCTTCTCCCTCCTCGAGATCAGGAAAGGCCCTCTCTTTCCTAGACCCAACCAACAGTGCCTTATTTGTAGGTATGCAACTCCACACCGTCAATGAAATAAAAACGCTCATACAGACTCCCTGCCCCGCCCCCCACCAAGTAGAGCATTCTCTTTATTTTCCACTTGTATCATTTTTGTTTAATTTTCCTCCTGAAAAACGGTAAGTTGCACATCCTTGAGAGCAACTGTCTTAGTCTTGCTTCTTACTCCGAGGGCTTTTCAAGAAGAAAGAGGAGGCATTTGGCACATTCTGATTTTGAAGTCTATCTCTTTCCAAAAAGAGAAAAAAGTTTGGTTGTATTTTATTTTGCTTCATTTCTCTACTTAACTCGTTTTCCTTCAGGCAAGTAGATTTTACCCTGCCCTTAAAGTGTGGCTGTGACTAATATCTACTAAAGGGTAAAGTTGTGTGCTTTTAACCAGAATTTAGATTTAATGCAGAATTTAAAGCCACCTCCATTCCTTTCTTGCTTTGAAACAAGTTCCAACTCCCTGCTCCTTTCTCTTGGGAATGAGTTGAACAATGTTAAATGATCTTTTTAGGAAACAAATGGTCTACAATAATAACACTTTAAATAATTCTGCAGTGCAACAAATATTTTTGGTATGGCCTGTTTTTACCTGTGACACAGTAGGACATCTTACTAAATGTGTGCTTCTTGCCTTTTAATCATGAATTTGGTGTATATATAGTTGTACTTTTTTGCAAACTCTACCCCATCTTCTAGTGTTAATCCCACTGGGTCTGGACATCTGCTTGACCGTAAGGAGAGTGGAGTCCACAACACAGAAACCAATCAGGACTAGAGCACAACAGAGTCCCCAGAAGAATGTGTGCTTTCCCCAAAATGTAGGGGAAAGCTGAGGAGACAGATTTACTTTCTGTTTATTCTATGCATTTGACTGTTCTTTACTTTTATTGGCATTTGTTGAAGGCTTGTCATGAATCAAGCTGAGCTGGGCCTGTGAGGATCAAAGGAAGCTTCACAGAAGTTTCTTTATAAGAAGTGTTTACAATGTAGAGGCCAAGAAGGAGATGTGACCAAATAGGGCTAGCACCAGAAGACAGGGTGCCATGTGAATTCAAAGGAATGAATTAAAATGGGCTTCTCAAAGGAGGTGACATTGGTGCTAGTATTTTTTATGAAACAGATATCAAAGTCAAACTAAATCACAACGTCTACATTATTTAAAATGCGCAGCATAAAGCAAAAGAACCACTTCAAAATGGCATTGCCCAGAACCACTTCAAAATGGCATTGCCAATTTGGGGAAATTTTCAAGCTTCATGTGGTTAGTACTTTAAAAGAATGTGGCTTTATTAATTGAATACTGCAGTGATATACCCAGGAACCCCAGGTACTTTTCAAAGAATCAAAATTTATGGAGGAGAGATTCAAAATGTTTAATTGTAGTCAAGTATGTCAAACTTTGAAGAAATCAATGGAACAACTCAAAGTTTTTGCATTCTAATAAGATATCCTTTTTCATCACAATAGTTGAATCTGTGACATATCTTAATTAAAAAATATTTATCTAATTAAATTCTCAAAATATTTATACTATAGGTGTCTATTGATGGTGTGAATCTAGGTGAGAATCTGTGACTACTACAATAATTACAGCACTAGCTCAGGGCTTGGGCCCCACACTAAGTGTGTATAATTAGTGTATTAAACACGCGTTAGAATACACAACAAGGACAGGGTTCTGTGCTGGATGATATCATCAAAGTTTTTGTGACTGATCATAAAGATGGAAGGGCCTTCTTTTTTTTTAATATGAATTTCCAGAAGCCCATCTGTAGATTCTTACCTTTTAGCAGTTTCACATCAAATTAAAAAGAAAAAGAAAACATAATACCACACATCATTACATAGAATAACATCATGCTAAGAAAGAAAACTGTTGCAACCTAGGCAGAAGGGGGAGTTAGATCAGTACAAGGATGAAGAAGAGGCCTCGGAGGCCAGTAACTGGACACTGAATGACTCAGAGGTCATGGCTTATGCACACCTATAGAAGAAAGATTTAAGAATGTCCACCCTGTATTTGAAATATCAAGGTTAGAACTTGAATGTATTGGTTGTGCAAGAGCTTCAGAGTAAAGTACAGATAGTGATTTGTTCACTGTAACAGGCTCTTTTTTTAGCCTGAGGATGCTACCAGAAGACAATCAAGGCCTCCTGCAGCCTGCGTGATAGGGTTAAGACTTGACTGACATTTGTGCCTATTAGATCATGTGGTTGGCAAACTAAAGGATGAAGTATGAATTCCTTGCAAAGCTGATGAGGTTGGACCTGGAGAGAAAATCTTGGCTGAAGGATCCTGGAAGTGACAAAGCCTCAAACCCTCAGCTAATCCCCACTAGTTAATTGCAGTAGCTTCTGGGACCACAGGAGGAAATGGTACATGCCTGTGCATATTCATGCAAATACACAATACACATACACACATCTGAAAAAGAGGTGCTAAGACTTCCAGCCAAGATGGAGGTGTAGGTAGATACACTTTACTTCTTCACCCAACCTAAAGAAGGACAACAACAAATTTTAAAACAAAAAAACAACCAGAGCTGCCAGAAAATTGAACTGTATGGAAGTCTGACAACCAAGCTGTTAAAGAAGAAACATTCATCCAGACAGGTAAGAGGGATGGATATGGACAGAGAAGATGCAGTCAAGGCGATGGCTGGAGGACTGGGTGGATGAGAGTGCAATTGGTGGTTCCACATTTGTGTGTGGATAAACCAGGAGGAACAACAGGGCAGTAAGGCAGACTGCATAGCCCAGGGTTCCAGTGCAGGAAAATAAAGCCTCAAAACCTCTGGCTGTAAAATCATATTGGGGTTGTGGCAGTGGGAGAGACTCCCAGCCTCACAGGTGTGTTCTTTGGAGACCCACAGGGTCCTAGAATGTACACAAACCTTCCCACCTAGAAATCAGCATCAGACGGCCCAATTTGCTTGTGGATAGCAGGGGAAGTAAGTGAAATCCAACAGAGGCTGAGCAAGCCTCTCTGGCCCCTCCCCCAGGTCCAGCGCCACAATGCAGCAACCTGGGTGGCTCTGCCCTGGAGAATACCTAAGGCTCTGCCCCTCCCAGTGTAACAGGCCCACTGAGACAATGAAATGTGGCCCAAATGAAAGAACACTTCAAAGCTCCAAAAATAGAACTAAGCGATGAACAGATAGCCAACATATCGGATGCACAGTTCAAAACACTGGTAACCGGGATGCTCACTGAATCAGTGTGGTTGCAAAATGGAGGAAAAAGTAAAGGATACACAAAGTGAAATCAAGAAAAATATACAGGGAACCAACAGTAAAGGGATGGTAACGAGGACTCAAATCAACAATGGGGAGCAGAAGGAAGAGGTAAATACTCAACTAGAACAGAATGTAGAAATAAGAATTCAGAAAAATTAGGACAGGCTTAGAAACCTTTGGGAGAACTTTAAACATTCCAACACCTCGATCATAGGGATGCCAAAAGGAGAAGAGGAAGAGCAAGAAATTGAAAACTCATTTGAAAAAA